CAATGTAGTACAACTAAACCCTGATGAAAATAAATATTATCTTCTCACGCCATATCCCACATTAATGCAATCACTCAAAAAATTTTCACCAGAAAGCATTCGCGCTATTGCTCGAAACCCAAATATAGACTTACAATCAATAGGAATCTATTCAAAATCAGATATTCAACATCACATTAGAACACAACAATTCCAAGAATTATTAACACAAATGGACACTATACAAAGACAATCAATAGACCAAAATTTACGCAAACTTGCAGAAACCGCAGGATTTGCCGATATCTACACGCAAGACTATAGCGGATATTTTAAAGACATTAAAGATTATATATATCTAAACGGTGAAAAATACCGTCCCCAAGATATATCACCAATTAACATTTTTAGCTTTGTTACACTCAAAAATGAGATCCTCGATTTTCTAGGATGGCCCTACTACATCTTAGAAAAATTGACTATTTTATACGCAATGTTTAACTTTATTGGATTTCTTTTCTCACTTTTAAAAGGAATCTACAACACATGTGCTATACACACACAAGTAAACAGACAAGCAAGCGTAGCACGCATACTCTTTGCAGGATTTTTTGGAATCTTTTCTACATCTATAAACAAAATTCTTTAAGACGCACAAATAAAAGAATATAACACAAAAATAGCAACACGACAAAATACATACGACGAAGAACATAACAATGTAGACATAACGCCAACGGCACCACAATTACCACCCCTACCAAATAACCATCCACTATCCCTAGTCCCACGAAATTTTCGAAATTTAGCCATCACACATAATCCAAATTTTCGACTCACCACATCACAAAGTCCCATTCAACATATAATGACACACCAGTCACAAGATGATAATACTTATGAACAAATTATTGAACAACCCCATACCACCGCTTTTCAGTCTCAAAATAATCATTTTTTTAGCCCACGATGAGCCGCCAACTTGGATCACTACACCGATCAAATTCCCACCCAACCAATCTTACCTCTCCAATCCCAATAATACCACTTTTTGCTTTTCCGCCACCCGATTTTCCACCTAGTAATGTAACATCAGGCATGAATTCCGACACTAATTCACACATCTCAGTTTTATATTCCATCTCACAACTCAATAACCCGAATATTGAAACCCCCGATGAATTTGCCGACTCAGAACCATCCCCATCCAATAATTTTCATAACTCTTCTAATTTTTCTCAACCCCCTTTTCAACCCATATTATCCAATAACCCTGACCCAATCACTCCCACACCCTCTTATGCTTCCCAAGTTACCCCAACCTACTCCTCATACCATTCTGACCAATCATCTCATTCTCCAGACACCCCCCGAATCTCCCCAGAGCTAGATAATTTTATTACCCTTCAACAACAACCCTACCACCTTAATACCCCAACCATAAACCAAATCTCCTCCACAATAAATTCATCCAACCCCCCTACCCCTACACCCTCTTCAAATTATACTGAATCATTAGCACCATCATCCACATCAACTGAATCTTCACTCAACACTAATAGAGCTTACCGCACTTTTAAAAGAAAGTTCCCCAACCATCCTTTCCCAGCAAAACCAGGAACAGCCCGTGAATACATCAACCATCCCAAGCATACTAACACAAAAGAATTTTTAGCCATCACCTTACCCTCATTCCCACAATACACCTTAAACACCCCCCACGACACTAACGAAACACGCAACTTTGTAGATGAATACGTTTTAATGCCCACTCTCTCTTGGACCTCATATTATCATTTTACTAACCCTCTTTGCTTACCTTTATCTAACACTCACATCGATATAGAGCGAAATACGGACATGCTATATCGACTCACTACACCACTAACCGCTAGACAATTTACTTACGTTGGATATAAAAAATCACTAAAAACACACACTGCACCTAGAGCTAACGAATATACACTCGAATACTATGATCACAACATCATCAGAGCTAACCAAGATCAATTCTTAGACGACGATCGCTTCGCTAATCCACAAATCACCGAGAAATTTTTCATTAAAACACCATATGTATTTACACTAAATATCTTCGATCGCAAGTTTGACCACATTATTTCAGAAGCACTAACAGACACACAAGCATACGAAAGTTTCAAAGAACGCTTCCAAATATTTTCACTAACCTTTCATTTCCTTGCACCACACGAAAGAGATTTACACTGCTCACACGATATTATGTTGCGCACTAAACAAACCCACACATATAGTTATTATCGCTTCATCCAAAATCACTTTGACCTACACACACCCTCTAGACAACCACACCATCGTTTTCAATTCATTAATTCCAAATACACTTCACCATTTTTCCTAAATTTCACATATTGCATTAAAGATACTAACCTTCATGGTATTCTTCGCAATTATGATCCCATAACCCAAATGTACATCTTCTGTCCCATCACCAAGGCCTTCAACGCCGAAGAATCCCGACCCTTCCTTATCCCGCACGAGTTTGTACAACCTATAGAAATCCCAATTTTAGAATTCATCCACAACACTAAATTCAATCACAAATTATATAATCTAATCCAAAACACACCTTATGAGTTTGCAGTTGGCACTGAAGAACTAACCACTATCAAGGCACTCCAATTGCTTTGGCCACTGCTTCAGACTAAAAATATAATCCGCATCTTAGCTAAACTACTAACAACTTCAGAACTAATTCACGACATCTTCCCCCACGGTTTTTTCCCCGACGACTAACAGGTAAGTATGAATTAAATGAATATTACTAACTAATTAAAATATTAAAAAACTCACCATACTTTATCCATGTTTTCTTTAGATTTTTAGCCTTCATCCGACAATCACCTACAAAGACCACAAAAGACAAATAAAAATCGCAAATTTCATCAAACAGATTTCAAAAATTCTATTAATCTCTTACACTTATAAATTTATAAATTTAATACCAATGCAGTAAATTCATTTCTAAAATTTTCCCCACAAGCAGTAAATCTAATTATAATGAAAATTTGTAACTTAAAATTCCCCCATAACTAGCAGTAAATTTCCAAATTCTATGCAGTAAATTAATAAAATGCAATTGCAGTACTAACCTTTTGATATTTTCATTCATTCGCACAGAAATTCTATCCACACTCGCACAGCTCGCCCACGAAGAATTGTTTAAAATAATGAATTTCAGTTTCAAGTTTTCACACTCAACAACTCTAACATATAATAACATGTTTCAAACCCGGTTGGAAAGGAATCATATACTAAACAAAACTAACCAACGCAGCTTACTAAACACCACAAATCATAGAATAACAGCATGACTAAGAAAAGGAAACCAACGGTACCCAAACCGGATTAACCCAGTTTAAAACTGGATAATTTATTCTTTTGAAGACTATTATAAAGTCTAAGAAAGAAATAATAAAACACAAAAAAGTCGAAAGACAAACCCATACCACGAACAATTTGATTTTTGGAAAAAGGACATAACCAACAAGACATAAGAAAAACCACAACAAACCCAACATAAAACGTTGTCACATAACAGGACCCCTCACAAAAACCGCATGAAATCATACTCCCACTCCTGGCCTAACCCACCAGGAAGGACGTCCTGAGCATGCTCTATAGCCGGCCTAACCCACCGCGCTACATCCACGCTTTGTGACCACACCTCTATTTTTAATAAGAGCTACTCAAGTGTGAGTAACTCTTCAAAATAACCGAACTAAAACAAAAAGCTTTTGTGAAAACAACTAACTAAAATCATAATTAAAAAATTGTAAACTAATAAATGTTTTATAAAATGTAAATTACATTATGTAATACATAGATCAGAATACAACACCAAGGACGAACATCTAAAGACAAAACGACCCCACTACGCTCGAGAGAGAATGGCCAACCACAATCGATATGCCACTCACAATCACAACTCAAAGGATTTAGAGTACGACTTGACTTCGCAGAAAAGGACTTCATTGAACTAGACCAATGACCACCTCGATGTTCAAGTATACGTACAGATCCGAGTAACCAGGCATCCCCTCCACGCACAATCTCCACGCCATTCCCAAACTAAATCAGACACAAAAAAGTTCTCCACGCAGAACAGAAAAACCTGACATAGCAAACCATTCTGAAATCAGATTTGAGTTTGTTGCAAAGACTTAGTCGTTGTCACTAGAAGACACAACGTCTTATGTCTCTAACTCCAGCTTCCTGGAACTTCTTTAACAAAAAGGAAACAGAAGAAATAAGATGTTCGCCAAACACCAACGTCCATCATCCATCCTTCGAATTGCAGAAGAACTATTCTAAAAAACTCTGTAAAACCCGGATGGGTGGAACCTGATCTAAACTACATTTTATGATTGGATAATTTAGATATTTTACCAATGTAAAGTATTTAATATTAACCAATCATGATCCATCTAACTAACAACCCACTTATTTGTAAGTGCTGAAGTTACTTGTAATTTCAGCACCAGAGAGATTTGAATTTAACTTAGAAATTAGTTGGACTCTCCCGAGCACTTCAGCAACCGCAATAGACCAGTATACCCTAGATCTATTGAGCCTAGCAGAGACTAGTTAAACAACCTGAGACTAGATAGTATAAGAGTAAGATTAGGATCGGTATTAGACTAAGAAGTTGCACGAATCTATCCGGCCGAAAATAAGATAGCGTGACGAGCAGACGGTGTACCCTATCCGAAATTACTCTATGAGTTAACCAACTCGGTCCTAACTCAGATTTGTTTGAATTTTTTTTACAGTCATTTGAATCACGACATTTTCAATGGTCGGAACAAGTACTCAAATTTTCATAGTATCATAGAAAAACAGAATAATCAAACATTAATCGATAAGTTTTTTGATCTCAAGATCGAGGCTGAAAACTAAACAACACTTATAATAAACAAAATCAATTTTTAAAAATACCAAAGTTGTTTGAGGCAAGGTATAGAAAGACACAATTTGTTTACCCTGTAGCAATCCAAATTTCCATCGTTAAGCTGATCATTTGAAATCCAAATGTGGTTATTCATGTAGCTCCATAGGGTTGACCAAGGGGCTATGCATTGCGTCTCATTCGGTCCTGGCGAGTAGTCATCTTGGCCCATTGGACAGGCGGGCCCATACCTAAATTTTAAAATGATCTGAACAAATCTGAATTACATGCGGTCACTTGCGTCACTTTCTATATCAAAATTCATAGAAACACTTTAAGATAAGATGAAAATGTGACAGATATTACAGTTTGTTGTGTCTTTGTGGGCCTTCATTTATGATTCATTATTTTCTCCAATCGCCTCAAAAAAACACCAGGTACCATTTAGAGAATTCAGAAGGGGTAGAGTGACAGACCACGTTGACATTTTTAAATATTCCAAATGTATTTATAAATATAAAACAAAGATAGTCGGTTACTGTGCAAGTAGCACAGAATGTTCCGACCACAGTCTTAAAAACACAAAAATGCTTTCTCAAATCGGTGTAGTTTTTTCTGCATAGTGTGATAGAAAAATCTAAACAAAAAAACAGAACTTAGGCATATTTGAGAGTCATAGTAAAATAGGTTCATTGGAAAAAAATGTTTGTCACGGCCTAAATTAAGCATAAATGAGCTATTGCAATTACAAACTACCATCACTAATTAGCTCGAATTTAGACCAAAAATGAACAATTCAAACCAGTTTTCTCGACACAAACCACTTTTTTGAAATTTTTTACAGTCGTTCGAATCACGACTGAAAAGGCTTTAATTTGATATATCACTCAACTCCGTCCAATGATTGCTTGTGGTAACTGATTTTGCGTCGAAAACATAAAGCAAAAAAAACAACAAGAAGAGCCGGTTACTCTGCAAGTAGGACAGAATGCTCCGATCATTGTCTTAAAAATTACAACACTGTTTTTTCAGCGTGGTGAATTAGGTATGTTTGAAGCAAAAAACTGGGGCAAAAAAACTGGGATTTGGGTAATTCGACTGTGATAACAAACTAAGCAAATTGAAATACAATTTTTGCAGAAAAACTATTAGAAAAACGAAAAAAAAAAATTCGAAATATCTTTTAATTTTTTTTGCAGTTTTTTGAATTTTCGAAAATCTTGATTCCATAACTAATCAAGTAATTCAAGTTAACTAATTTTTCACGTTTTTAATTAAGCTATTGTAAGCTTTTAAGCAATTAAAAACTGACTGCTTCCTCGCTGTATTCGCTCGAAAAAAGACAAAAATTCAACAACAAAAAAAACGGTTTTTCTCGACACTAGGAATTTATAAATTTTTTTTGTGGTTTGAATCACGACTTTAAGGGCTTTAATGTAATGTAAGTGCGATGATTGTTTGTGTTTTCTGATTTTGCGTGGAAACAAAAAGAAGAAAAAAAACTAAAACACACCCGAATACAAAGTTCTTCCCCATTTTCAATGATCGGAACAAAAAATTTCCCAGTTAATTTTTTTTGTACCCTGTGTATCATAAGTCACCGGATGCCAATAACGAATCTTAAATATTGGTTTCAATTAAACTGTTAGTATCTTTTTCTCTAAGCCAGGGTTTGCTTTTCAATAACAAAAACAAAATAAAAATAAATTTTTCTAAAATTTGATTGACAAAAATGGATGCAAAAGTTTGTATCCGCTATCAAAATAAGCACTCCAGGGAGTTTTTGTATATTTGCCTTGAAAAAAACGACGTGACTTATATCACAACATGAGCTATATCTAATCATAATTTGCTAGTCTCTTACTCGTCAGATAAGTCTTCGAGGCAGTCGATGACGCCGTCACACACTTGGTCCTGTCGGATGATGCGATCCGAAATGCAGCAGACGAAGACCTCTGGCAGCAATGAGGGACTCCGGCAGATGTAGTCTTCTTCGTCCGAACCATCCATGCAGTCGAAGTTCCCATCGCATCTGGAATGAAGAAAGAGATTTAGCTTCCGCGTAGATTGAGAAGAGTTACACTAAACCAAGCTTCTTTTCCGTTTATTGGCTAGCTGCTTTTATCAAGTGATCATTGATAATAAGTTCGTTTTAGTTGAAATGACATGCACAAAAATGATTGAAAATGCATAGCGACTATTTGTTTTTTATATGATTTTCAACCATTAACTTGAGGTTAAATCTAGGTAGATTTCGAATGAAGTTTGAAAAAACTTACTTCAAATTTGAGGAAACTCAAGCTATTTTTGCCACAAAAATCAGTTTTTTTGGGGGGAAAGTGCAGAAATTACCATGTTTGATGAAAAATGTTTACCTTTTTCGAATATCGATACAAGCTCCATTTTGGCATTCATATTGGCCCTTGTCGCACCTCCGACTCCCACAGAACTTCGTATCTTCGTCTGAGCCTTCCGAGCAGTCTACATAGTCGTCACAGATCCAGTCCGGGCTTATGCAAACATTCTCATCTTCCAGACACTCGAAGTTAGCCGGAAGAGCTCCAGAATAGTCGTAGTCGCTCTCACACCTCGGAATCGGGTCGCTAAGAAACGACTCGAAACTGGTCGCAGTTGAGTTGTTCACTGTCGATGTTGAGTTGGTCTCTGTCTCGTTTCCCAACAAAATGGCTGCGGATTTGGCGGCAACTAGTTCCTTATATATATCACGTAGGCCGATAGAGTTGAAATCTTCAAACGTGATTACTTTGTGCAAGTCGGAATCTCCTTTAGCGTAAATTCGCAGCAACGATTCCTTGATTTTGTTCGAATTGCACAGTGTTACTGTTGGAAAATCGAGCTTGTCCTGGTGCACTATTTGCAAGTTGACCGTTACTGGATACTGATACACGTCAATTAACATGGACGTTATTTGGTACAGAAAGGCCAGAGCAGACAAAACAACGGCGCTCAGCCAGAATATCTTGCGATGGAAATTGGTGTAACTTATGACCTTGGGAACTCCGTGGGCCGAGCACTGCAGCAGCCAAGAGCGGAGAATCCAGAGGAAGCTGAGCATCTCCCGAGAATCCTCGTCAGCAGCACGTTCCATAGCAGCCGCTCTATCTAAAACAATTGATTCGAGCTCAATGTGGATCTACATTCTCCTCAAGTAAAAGAAAGCACAACCTTTATTTAAATGGCGGCAAATTTGATTTCCCTTTTTATTTTTAGATCAGTTTTCGGTTCTTTTTTGAAAAAATCTGGCCAAATTCACCAAGTCCTTATCTCGATGCACTTTTGAATAGTTGAAAAGTCGCGCGTTTTAGCTGAAGTCATGTCGAAAAAATACATGGGTACAAAAATCGATGCCATAAAAACTAAAGAAAAATCATTTGGTTGCCAATTGCTCTAATTACCAAAAGAGGAAGAGGCTTAAATCAGCTAATACTGAAATGACTCCGTCTTCAAATAGATGATAGTAGCATATATAAACTCGGGCAAATAAGAATGACGGCAGTTGCAACCTAGGACATTGATTTAGTGAGCTGCAAACTTTAAAAGGGAGAACTACAAGAATGAACTTCAGATTGACGGTTGGTAGGGGTTGTACTTCTTTGAAGTTATACGGAAAGCCAACTTTTTTAAAAAGGTCTTCGTAAATATAATTTTGAAAAAACTATCAAAAAATAAACACTGACTTGCAGTTTTGTATAAAAATTTGGTATTTAAGGTGAACTTTCCACATTTTTGGACAATAAATTAGCTTTCGAATGCGATTGTCCGAAATAGCGAAATTGCTCTTTTGAAAAAATTGTTCCGACTTTCGATACGAAAGTAACGGAATATTTGTGCTCGGGGTGGGTTTTTTTTCTTCAGACAAATTTCGACTTTTTAACTAGCCATTTTTGACGGAATTTTTTTATATCATTCGAAAGCCATTGTTGTCCTGAGCTTAAACTTGAAAAGATATTTCACCTGTGATCAATTTACGTTAAGTTATGAGGGTTTAAAAATTGCCATTTTGACCATTTTGACCAATTTGGGACAATTAACGCGCGATATCATTCGCGCTATTAACGCGTAAGCGGAGATTTAATCCGTCTTATAAATCGTTCCAAATTGGTTGAACGAAGCTTATTTGCCATAATTGATTTGTTGTAAGGAACGAAATCTATCTTTTTGCACTTTATATGGCGTGTGGGGGGATGCTTTTCATAAAAAGTTTCAAATTAAAAAAAAATTTCATTTTATTTTATGTCATTTAATTTTTTATGTTATTACTGCTGCTCCATGAACCTTAAAAGGCAGTCGGAACATTCATGGCTTCGCCCTGATACAAGCAGTCTTGTTTTATATACTACTACTTTTTGCAATTCTTTGTAAATACATCATTGCATCTGAAAAATTTCCTGTTCAGGAGGTTTGCTTTGGTAAAAACAGTTTTTATGCATGTCAGTTCACGTTGTTTGCAGAGGTGAACTAATCAACATCGAATCATTTGTGTATTTGTTTTAAAACTTTCACCCTAAAAATCCTTGCATCGAGCTAAAATTTTCATGGCTTTCGAAGCTAGTAGTTTTCCAAGCAGAAGAAATTCAGTACCACAAAAACGTTGTACAAAGGTGAAGGACATATCACATATTCCCTTTCGATTGTGATCATGCGCTGTGAAAAATTACAGACCCGCAATTGCCATTTTAGAAAAAGTTTGCATCCAGTTTTTTTATTCTTGATCAAACACTAACTAGTAACAAGGATAGCCGGTTGCTGTGCAACTAGCACAGAATGTTCCGACAATAGTCTTATAAAACACAACAAATTTTCTTCAAATTATTGTTTTTTTTCGGCGTGGTGTTATAAAAAGAGCAAAAACTGGGAATTAGGTTCATTTGACAGTCATAGTAAAATGCAACTTGAAAAACAGTTTTAGCAGAAAAAATACAAGAAAAACGAAAAAAATCAAAAAAAAATTCTCTATTTTTTTTTGCAGTTTTTTGAACATTTTGAAAATTTTGATTATAAAAATGCGCTAAAACACTCAAAGTAAACTAACGTTATTCAAGTAAGGCCAAGTTTTCATTTGAGCTATTGTAAGCTTTAGAGCAATTAAATAATGACTGCTCGTTCGCTTTTTTCGCTCGAAATAAGACAAAAAATCATGAGTTTCCAACCGGTTTTTCTCGACACTGGGAAATCGCGTTTATTTTTTTGTGCTTGAATCACATGTGGTTTTTTGTGGTGTGCATCATTGTGGTTTGAGTCACGATAGTCACGGGAAACTTTTTGAGCGTTAATATGATATATCACTCAACCCAGTTCGATAATTATTTTTGGTACCTGATTTTGCGTGAAAAACTAAAAGAAAAAAAGAAAAATTTTTATAACACACCCTATTACGAAGTTCCTCCCCATTTTCAATGGCCGGAACAATAAGTCTCTTTTTACGCAATATAAAAGAGAAAATATTATTTTGATGTCAGACCAACTGCAACTAGTTTTCCGGACTCTCATGAAGTGGTCTTATTTTACGATTACTTGAGCACTTTTTGATCGCTCTGAACGGAATTTTGAGTTATTTCTGATGGTATTTACCGCGCAAAGCTATATATTGATGCCACAGGCGCTTTTTTGAAAAAAAATTATATTCGCTTTTGTGAAAGGCATTCGTAAAATAAAGTCAAATGTACCTAAACTAGGCCAGGGGGTAAGCGGGTCGAAATGCTAGGGGTGAAACGAACCCTAAAAAGGCAGCCTAGTTACCTGATGGTATGAATTTTGAGCGGGTAGCCATTCAAAAATTAATTTTCAACTTACCCTGTTTTTGTACATTTTTGCCGGAATCCAACTGTTCTGCCTGGGTGCGTTCAAGTTGGTTGGATTTGTTGAGGATGTTGGATGCGAACTTGGAGCCGACGACTGCCGCCTGTTTGCTAACAGTCTCATTCGCATCACCCGATCCCATCCCCATCGTGTGCAGACACTCCTCAATATCATCGTCGTTGCTGTCTTCCGGGTGGAACAACTGGTCTTGGAAAACATGAGACAGATCCATCTCTCCAAACGCACTTCTTCTTTTTCTTCTTAATTTGCTTTTTTAACTTTTCGAAACTTTGCTAAAATTTATTGTTCCGTATAATTTGGCAAACTGAGCTGTAAAATTCTGGAGCTGAAGTTCGCAATCAATTTTAATTGTTATTTACAATATTAGGCAGCTTTTTTAAAAGGAAGGATGTTTTTTAAATGAGGCTTTAGCGGGGGTCGAACCTTTCAGCAGCCTATGAGCTTAACCTCGAAGATCCGCAAGCTGGTACAAAATTGATTAGTATCGATAAAATGCGAGAGTTATTGCGGGCCTGTTCTTTCAATTTGGCGCTCAAGATGGCGTCGACATTATGACATGTAGAAATAGGAATCTACCTGAATGCTGTTGTTGTATAATGGAAGACATAAGTCAACAAAAACTAATGAATAATTCAAAACTGACATTCAATATTTGACGTCAGATGGCTTAAACGCAAATAAAAAAACAAAAAAGCGAAGTTTCTGAGACAAAACAAAACCAATGAATCAAAAGTTGGAACTAGGAAGAAGTCTTTCAGAAAATTGGGATAATTTAGTTGTTTACACAGCCGCCTATAAATTTCGAATCAGACTTCAACAATAATACTTTGTCGATTGCATGCTAGGACAAAAATATAAAACGCTGATGTGGTGTGCAAGGGCAATTGAAAAAGGCGCGCCCTACCTCACGTCTTCAGCAAGGCGACATTTGCCATCATATGATTCTCTCTTCGGTTGTGTTTTTGGCTGAAAAATCCTAACATATTGAAAAAATGTTAGCGTTAAGGCATTCCTTATTTGAATGAGCGCATTTGCAAGTCCTATTTGATTATAATTATGGTTATTGTCATTAGTTGTGTGATTAAAATTACTGCTTTGATTATGATTATAATGTTCTTTGTTTTAATCAGGATATTTATCAAGATTTTTTAATTAAAATTTTTTAGTGACCACATATAACTAACAAGCATCAGTCATAAGATAATCAAAGGGATCGAGCTCACGGGCCCTAAGGCCCCTCGAGGAGACGTCCCATAAGGTAGACTTTTACAGAATAAGTTGTGGAGAGAGAAAAGGCAGGAATTAGATCACTTGTCAAATATCAGGTGAAGGAGTTCAAAATTATCTGTGACAAAATTACGTTTAGTGTTTTGTAAATAAGAGTTCAATTGAGACTTTGACAAGAAAAATAAGAAGGAAAAAGACTCTTAGCCGAAAAAAAGTATAACTTGAGCACTTTAACGCTAACCGATTGTAATAAGCATTAAGATCTAACAGATTTTGAACGTAATATTTTCAAGCTACGGTCACGTGTTTTTCTACAGTTATTTGCTTGATTAAAATCCAAAAAATTTAATGACAGTTTACCAGGTATTTGATAAATAACTTCTTCAAAAACAGTATCTAGAAACAAATCAAAAACGGCATCAATATTATTTTCTAAAAATTATTTTCGCAATGTGATCAATTTTGCGCATAAAGAAAATAGTTCGAAGAATACGCTTTTGCATTAAAAGAATTTTCTTTAAATTTTTCTTGAACGCATATCCATAAACTAAGATGCCGTATGATATTAGAGGTTTTGTGTAATTTTGATAAAATATCAGAAGAAAAGTATTGAAAAACCATTTCTTGCTTTATAAAAAACTCCATTAACTTTAGCTAAATTTTTTACGAACATGATCTATGTGTTGCTTAAAACAGAGCTTAATTTACACCACAACCCCAAGATACTTAAAGGAGTTCACAACATTGAGTTTCTGATTGCCCAAAAAAGTTTCAGATTCTATTGAACTCCTTCCAAGTTTGGACACTTGCGTTTTATCAATATTGATGGTTAGTCTGTTATTTGGGCACCAATTTTTAATCGATTTAAGGTCCTGATTAAAATGTTCATCAATCGAATTTTTTCGCATGTAATAAGATTCGTTTTGTCATCAGCAAACAGAGAAATTAAGCTATTTGTCGTTAATTTAAAATAAAACAGCAGTTGACCTAAGACAGATCTGCAGGTAACTCCGAAGGTATTACTCTTTAATTGAGAGTTTTTATAACAGATGAAATGATACATACTTTTTACGATTGGTTAAGTAAGACTGCAGAAAAGTGTTTGTTATACCGCGGAACCCATAGAGTACTAATTTGGTTAGTAAAATGGAGTAATCAATTGTGTCAAAAGCCTTTTTAAAATCTACAAAACCCGCTAATCCTAATTTTATCATTTATAAAGTGACGCACTATTTCGATTGCAGAATTTATTGCATATACACAAGAATATCTGCACCGGAACCCAAACTGTTCAGGCACCAAAAAGTTGCAATTTGATATAAACTTAATCATGCGAATGTGCCTTATTTTTTCATAAACGTTGTTGAAAGTACTTAGAAAACTTATGGGTCGAAAACTGTTTGGCTCTGTCTGTTTTCCCGTTCTATAGAATGGTAGTACTTTTTCTATTTAAAAAATGTGTGGAAAAACGCCAGCAATAAAGCATTGGTTAAGGCCAAAAGTTAAGAAAGGCAAACTTATTGGTGCACAAAAATTGACCATTCTATTATTGATGCCATCATGACCGCCGGACGTTTTTTTTTTCAATTTTTCTATAACAAAAGAAACTTCTGACTCATCAGTGGGTTTAAATATATATATTTTTTTGCTTCTATGTCTGCAGAAGAGGTAAGGTTACAACGTATATTGGTTGCAAGGCTTCGACCGACTTGCAGAAAAAAGTTGTTGAAATCATCAAAATGAATTTTACTACCAACCGAAAAAAGTTTTCCGGAAAATTTCTTAAAAGCGTAGTAAAGATTTTTTACATTGCCTTGCAGGCTGATTTTTCTATCATAGTAGTTTCTCTTGGTATTACGCATCAACTGATTGACTAATTTACACTGAGGTTTATAGTTAGTTTTTTTCTCTTTGGTTGGATTGTTAATTAGATGCAAATGAAATTTATCTCGTTTTCCTAATTGATTTTCAATTCGAGAGTTACCCAAGATTGCGAGATTGTGTTCCGTGTGACAGTTTTTTCAGGACAATAAAGGTTGCAAATATCTACCAATATTCCATCAACTATTTCAGCAGAAGAAGTATCCAGTTTTTCAAAAGCTTTTGAGAAGCGATGATTGAGTATAAAAAGCAGTTTACATGCCGTAGTCTCATTCAATAAATTTTTGAAATCTCGATATTTTCTAGTAGTATTAATTTCGAAATGCCTTTCTAGATCAGTGTTAACCAGCGTGGCGTAGTGATCACTGATAGTGTATTTCAATGGTGATACCTCGTGATGTATATTTGCAAAAACTTGACCGATACATGATGAGCTATGGGTAGTTTCTCTAGTGGGTTCTTTGTTCATCACCTTCAAACCGATTGATAAGACTAAGTTTTAATAGTCAAGTAAAAAAGTTGAATCTACCAAGACATCAACATCAAGATCACCACAAAATATTATTTTTTCTTTGATCTGAGACACATGATGAAATAAGGAATCCAAATTCTACAAAAAATTATCCTGATTCATCGATGGTGGTTTGTATAATACGCAGAAAAGTGCTTTTTTGAATGATAATTTTCAACAGTTATCATTAGATTTTCGATATCATTATCAAAGCTTTTTGGAAAAGCCGTTAAACCATTTTCAACAAAGCAAGCAAAACACCTTCCCTTTTTACCAACTCTGTTTTTGGTAATGATTGTCTGATAGCCATAAATGCTGTTAAATCCTGTTGGATCATTATCAGTTAGACATGTTTCACATAAAGCTATCAATGCTGGAGCGTTTTGTTGTCTGTCTAATAGATCATGATGGCATCTAAGTGATTGTATATTGAGAAAGAAGAGATAAAATTTCTCAAGAGTTCCACCTTTTTCTCTCCCCAAAAAGTCTACCATAATAAATGAAACAAAAAATTTGTTTTACTTGATTTTTTACGTCAGTTTTCTCATCCGAGATATTCTGCAAAGGTTCCAGTTTGTTGCTTTTTGAAGGCGGAGATAAACTTGTTGATATCACAGTCTCCAGTAAAGTGCAGATTTTAACCAACTTTTCATTAGAATTCAACTTTCTTTTTGAT